TCGGTCTGGCCCAGCTCCAGCTATTGAGGCCATTTGGGGAGTGAACCAGTAGATGGAAGCGCGTGCTTGCTCTCTCTTTCTCTTCCTCTGTAACTCTACCTTTCAAATAAATAAATACGAATTTTTTAAAGATTTATTTTATTTGAAAGGCAGGGTTACAGAGAGGCAGAGAGAGAGAGAGAGAGAGAGAGAGAAAGAGAGGTCTTCCATCCGCTGGTTCACTCCCCAAATGGCCCCATGGCCGGAGCTGGTCTGATCCAAAGCCAGGAGTCAGGAGCTTCTTCCAGGTCTTCCCATGCAGGTGCAGGGGCCCAAGCACTTGGGCCATCTTCCACTGCTTTTCCAGGCCATAGAGGAGAGCTGGATCGGAAATGGAGCAGCTGGGACTCCAACCGGTGCCCATATATGGGGTGCTGGCACTGCAGGCGGCGGCCTCACCCGCTATGCCATAGCGCCGGCCCCAATAGATATTTTTAATGATAAAAAATGAATAAATAAGTTACTTTCAGTGTTGACCGGTTGATAAAGCGTTCGTCTTTGTCCTAAGTGCAAACCAGAAGAGGAACATGTACACCACACACAGGGCCTGCACCCACTTGTTCCCTCGCCCAGGGAAAATTCATCTCAGTTCCAGCTCTGTGCCAGGCACTATGCTCTCCATGAAGCCAACAGGGTTGCGCTGTCTCCATCACGCCTCCTAATAGTGGGTGATCTTCAGGGTCCAAAATGCTAAGAGAGATGGCAGCTATGCCAAAGGGGCCTATCCTGGGAGGCCAGGGAGGACAGCTCTGGTGACATGGCACTGAGCTGACCCTGAAGGAGGGGACAGTGATGGGGGTGGGGGGCAGTGCTGGATGGAGAAGGAACAGCATTGCCAGGACCATGTTGGGGAAGGGGCGTGGCTGGAGAGGTGGGCAGGCCCTGGGGGGGGGCTCCCCCCACCTCCATGGGATCTTTCCCTGCTTGCTTAGAACGGCGCCTCACTCCACCCCCCGCACCGCCTCCTTGCTTCCTCTCCTCCATCTCCAGTGCCTTGCACACCAGTTTCTGGGCCCTCAGCCTTCTCTGCCAGTACCTCTTTCCCAACACGGTACGGAAACCCTTGTGGATAGTAGGTGTTTAATTCTAGAGGGGATTTAGGGCCACAGCCAGCCCAGGGAGTGCTCTCACAGGTATTGACAAAGGGTGTCCCCGCTGGGCAGATGGATCCCCTACAACAGGATGTATTACAATCCCGATTTTGCCCACTTGGCTGCACACACTTCTTCAGTGAATAACCTTCCCAACTGCGCGCTGCAGCCCTGAATGGATAAATAAATGAGTGAACAAGGAATGCGAGGAAGCTGAATGAGAAGCCCTAAACCAGAGGAAAGGTTTGGATTGGGAGTGGAACCAGGAGAAGCTGAGTCCTGTCAATTTGGGGGCGACAGACAGGTGAGCCGCAAACCCTAGCTATTGCTTCCAAACACCCCCAACTCCTGTTTTTTTCCAAAGCCAGGCTGAGTGGCGGTTCCTGCCTATCCCAGCTCGCGAAGTCTCGCGCCACTTGAGTAGCTCTGTCCCGTAGGGAAGGGCAAGCACGCTGGGCTCCAAGCCTGGACAGCGCAGATCGGGCACCCCAGGGCTCGCTCAGCCAAGTGCAAAAAGCCCTGCCTCTGCTCTCTTGTAAGCCATATGAGGAGATAGCCAGGGCCGAAACAGAGAACTTGAGTGTATTTATTTACTCAAGACTCCGAGGACCGCAAAACAAAACAGGGCCAGCCAGATGCCTTAGTGGGAAAGAGGGTCAGAGTAGACAGGTTCATGACCACTGGTCAGCTCCCTGGAAACCTTGCTAGCCTGGGGGGGGGGGGGTATTTTCTTGCCCTCTGGGTCAGCCCAACCCCTCCCCGCCCCCACTGGCTCTACCATCTCCCTCCCCACGCTCTTCTAGGAAGCAAGACTTATGGCTCTCACTTCATCTTGACCATGCATCCACAAAGAGCCGCTTGTTCCCCTTTCCCTTCGCTCATGAGCAAATCATCCAAGAAAAGCTCTGGGACTTAAAGGGCCCGAGGTGGGGACCAGACACAGAGGCAGCTCATGAAATGCGATTTGTCACGGATGCTGACCCTCCACCGGCAGGCAGAGCCTCGGAAAAATCCCGCCACCAGGCGGGCCGCTTGCCAGCTCTGAAGTCAGCGGCGTTGGGAGCCTTCCTCATCAGACAGAGAGCTCCTGAGGGCAAGGCTGGACTCCCCCATCAGACTGAAGGTCCTGGACCTGGGGACGCATCTCACCATCAGACTAGGAGCAACACACTGGGTGCACAGGCTGCTCCCCCCCCCAGGCTGGAGCTCCCTGAGGGCAGATGGTGTCTCCTTTTCAGATTAGGAACACAGCCAGAAAAACTGAGAGCAATGGCTGCCACTCATTTGGCGCTTACCACGTTGATTGATATAAAAAGACTACGAGGGAAGTCTCAGCACGATTCTCTTTTGCTACACAAGGAGACTGACACGTGGAGGTTGAAGACCTTGCACAGTTAGAGGTGGGTACTTGGTGCAGCGGCTCAAGTCACTGCTTGGGACACCCGCATCCCATATCCAAGTACTTGGCTACTTTGTTTCCAATCCAGCTTCTTGCTAAGGCACATGCTGGGAGGCAACAGGCAGCTCAAGTGCTTGGGTCCCTGCCACCCACGTGGGACACCCAAAAGGAGCTCCCAGCTCCTGCCTTCGGCTTGGCCGGGCCCTGGCTATTTTGAGCATTTGGGAAGTGAACCAGTGGATGGAAGAGCTCTTTCTCTTTGTGCCTCTCCCTCTCCCCCACTTCTGTCATTCAAATAAAGTGAAATTTAAAAATTAAATAAAAGCCAGTTTTAAAAGAGACTGCACAGCCAGGTGGTGTAGGCAGGGCTCTCCCCCAGACTGTAGAGTGTGAGCACAGAGAGCGTGCCCCCCCCACTCTCCCTGCAATCAGGTTAGGGACCTGCACTGGGGGGGTCTTTCCTCTGCCCACCCCATCTCCCTGTCTGGGATGGCGACAGCCTTAGTCAGGGTTGTGCCTGGAGTCTGGGCTGGGGCCGGGGTTGACGGAACCCTTGAGGACAGAGTTTCTGCCCCTCACAGCTCTGAGCTGGTCCCCAGAAGCAGACCCCTGATGGCAGAGAAGAAGTCAATCTTTCAGAGACAGGGCCTCTATCTGGGGTGGGGGTCCGGATCTCCCAGGGGCTGGGCTGGGTGCCCTCGGAGTGCCCGGAAGCCTGCAGGCCCTATCACAGGGCACACGCCTTCCCAGGGTACCACCCAGCAGGCCGGGCATTTCCTCCTGTCCACAGCTCACCTCACTCCTGGCTGCACACCCAGGCAGGAGCCTCTGGGGCCCAGCAACGCTCGCAGGAAACAATGGAAATTTTGGTTCCTACTCTCCTCCCTCTGTCGTTACTCAGAAGGTCCCTGCCCCCTACACACACACACACACACACACACACACTCTTCTCCACGCAGCCTGCCCTGAACACTGCAGACAGAGGAGGGGGCCCCGCAGCGGTGTGGCCGCCTGTGGCACTGTGATTGACTGCCCTGGCATCTGGAGTGGGCACTTTGGCAGGGGTTGTATCGGGCCTGGGTGTGTGCACGGCTGTGTCACCACAGCGTGGGTCTGGGAGTGCTGTGTACGGAAAATGGTGCAGGGTGGGAAGACAGCCCACTGAGACACTGTGACTAACCCAGGAAAAAACGTCACAAACACAGGCTAGGGCAGGTGTTTGGCCTGGCAGTCAACATACGGTTCAAGAAGCCGGAGTCTCGGGCACTTCTTGTGGTGCGGTGGGTGACGCCACCTCTCGCAATGCTGGTGTTCCGTATCGGAATGGCAGCTGGAGTACCGGCTGCTGCACTTCCAATCCAGCTTCCTGCTTATGTGCCTGGGAAAGCGGCAGAAGGCAGTGGAGGATGGTCCAGGTACTTGGGCCCCTGCTGCCCATCTGGGACACCAGGGTGGAGTTCCTAGCTGCCGACTGAGACTTGGCCCAGCTCTGGCTGTTGCATCCATCTGGGGAGTGAGCCAGCAGCGAGAAGATCTCTCTGTCTCTCTATCTCCTTCTGTTGCTCCACCTTTCAAATAAATCTGAAAATAAATAAATAAATAAATAAATAAACAAACAAACAAACACGGGAAAGTCTAAGGCCCATGTCGGAGCACCTGGGATCAGTGGTGGCTCCCTAACTCCAGCTTCCTGCTAGTGCAGACCCTAGGAGGCAGAGGGATGGCTCTGGTAGTTGACTTCCTGTCATGCTAGCAGGAGACACCGGCAGGGTTCCTGATTCCCGGCCTAACTTCAATGCCTTTGCTGGAGTGAGAAAGAGGTCAGGCAACAGATGGGAGCTCTCTGTTTCTCTGCCTTTCAAATAAAACTCAAGAGGAGTACCCACGGGGCAAGTGCCTGTGAAACTGGTGTTTATGTGCAGTGGCCACCTCACCTGGGCAGGTGCACTTCACAGCATGGGAAGGTGTTCACCTAGTGTGAGGGTTGTTGGTACCCCGAGGCTAACCCGGAGAGTGCTACAGTGTTGCCGGGAGCCAAGGAGCGGTCAGTGCCTGGAACCTGTGAGGTCAAAAGTGGGGGTGCATCGGCAGCGTCAGCGCTGTGCGTAGAAGGTAGAAGGCAGTGGAGGATGGCCCAGGTACTTGGGTCCCTGTCCTCCTGAGCTGCCCGAGGGGTGCGGGAGCCTTGGCGGTGCGCGTGCATGGACGGAGGGCGGGGCCCGGCCGCTCCGCCCCGCCTAGGGCCCCCGGCCCCCGTCCCATCCCTCGCTCCAGGCCGGGTTTGGCCGGGAGCCGGCGGGCCCGCGGTCGCGCGGAGGGGGCTGGGGGCCCAGACAAAGGCCCAGTCGGCTGCGCGGCCGGCTCGGGCGAGCCGAGCCTGGGCCCGGGGGCGGGGCCTGGCGCGCGGGGGCGGGGCCTTGGCGGCGGGGGCGGGGCGGCCGGCCGCGGGGGCGGGGCGGGCCAGGGGAGGGGCGGGGGCGGTGGGAGCGGGCCGCGCCGTCCCGAGGACTCCCGAGGCCAGCGAGCGGGCGGCTGCGGGCGGCGCCGAGCGAGCGAGCGAGCGACGGAGCGGCGCGGGCCTGGCCATGGGGCGGCGGGCGGCGGGCACGCTGCTGCTGGCGTTGCTGCTGCACGGGCGGCTGCTCGCGGTGAGTGTGCGGGGCGGGGGACGGGGGACGCCTGCTCGCCGCGCCCGCCAACTTGTCGGAGAGGCGCCCGAGACTGTGCGGCCAGGACTCCGGCCCGGGGCGGTGGCGCTGCCTCTCCCGGGATCCCGCGAGCTGGCACCGGCCGGCGCCACTCTGCGGCATGGGTCTGCCCCGGGGCGGGAGGGGGGCGCCCCAAGGGGGACCCTGCGTGGGCCTGGAGGCGGGGCCGGCCTCGTGGGAGTGCGTGGGGCACCCGGCCACGTTGTCGAGTCTCGGGAGTCGCACTGGTCCTGGCCCGACCTGCCAGCCCCAGGGACCGCGCGGAGAAACTTGGAGCAGGGTGGGAACTTGGCAGGAGGCGAGAACCCTTTTCTGGGCCAACTTGGCAGAAGGCGCAGTCGGTGGTGATGAGGACCCTGTCGGTCCTGGCCGGAACTTCACCACGCTGTCCTCTTGGGGAGCTCGTAGCCAGGCAGACGCAGGGAGAGAACTTTGGGGCCGGGACTGCGGCTTGCTGGGACTCCCGGGACCCTGGAGTCAGGCAGCGCCGAGCTGGATCAGCCGCTGCCCTTGGCCTGAGCACCTGTGTGACCTCCGGCAAGCGGAGGCTGGCTCCACGTGGGTAAAGGCTCGCAGGGTGTAGCCGCCGGCTGCTTGCTGGGCTCTCCCCCTCCCTGGGACCCGAGTTTCCCCAGCTTCCCTCCTCCCGGGTCTGCTGGGTGCAGGGGAGGCCCCGCCCTGCAGCCCAGTCCCCGGCTCTGAGCTTAGATGGGCCCACACAGAGGAAGAGAGAATTCCTGGGCTCAGGAATTCCAAGGCCTGGAAGGCAGTTGGTCCTGAGAGGCCCCGAGGACCGGAGTGATTTCCAGGAGGGCTGGGCTGGGCAGGGTCAGTGGGCAGGGAGCTGGTGGCAGATGTGGGTGGGAGCCCATGTGGCCTGCCACAGAGCGCCCACTCACTCTCTTTGAGGTGCCCCTGGACAGTCCTCGGCCCTGCCCGCCCCTTCTCAGAAGGACCGCGTTCTCACTGAGCTGGCGTTTACTCAGCGACTCCCTGTCACCTCTACCCTCATTCAGGACTTGCTAACCCCCCACCCAGACCTGACCCCTCACTGCCTGCCCCTCCCATCCAGCACGCGCCTCCCCTGCCCACGCCCCAGCCGGGGGCCTCCTCGTTCCTCCTCTCAGCCTCTCACCCTGTTACCCGGACGCACGCAAGCAGGGCCGTCCGTGTGGTCCCATTGCGTTGACCCAAACTTGGAGTGCTGATGCTGACCTTCGCTTTCCCCACGGCACCAGCCTGGCCGCTGCATGGCTTGCACAGCCCAAGGTCATTCCTGACCCCCCTCTCCTGCACCCCAATAAGAGGCTCCTAGGTGCAGGGGCTGTGCAGTGGCAGGAGAGGTGGGTGGGGCTGCTGGCTTATAGAAATTCCTGGACGGCCTGTCATCTCTTTCCCTTGTTCATTCAACAGATTTTCATTGAGTAACATTTTCCGTGACAGTCGCTGGGAGTGCAGGGGTTCAGTGACTGGGCAGATGCGTGCCAAGCGCCTACCGTGCACCTATGTGCGGTGGAAGGCGGTGGTGGTGTATGGGTGAGCCCGGACAGGCCCGCCTGCACCTTCTGAGGACTTGGCTGGGACAAGGCCACCCCAGCAGCCACACTGAGGTCGTCACGGCCCCACCCCAGGCTGCTGGTGAGGGGCTGGAAAGCGCTTGGCCTCTGGAGTCCTCTCAAGGTTGAATCCCGCTCTGACATTTTCTAGCTACATCAGCTGGGACAGGTTCCTCTCTGTGAGCCTCAGTTTCCACATCTGTAAAATGGGGGCGAGAAGTTTATCGTGAACCTCCAGCGCGATCAAGTTCCTAGCTGTGTCCCAGCAAGCCCCGGGCTCCTGCTTGCCCACTGCCCTTGATCTGTTCCACTCATGTCTGCAGGTCAAGAGTGAGTGGGGGAGGGATGGACACAAGAGCAAATAACGTGGGCCTTAGACCCCAGTGGTTGGTGCTTGAGTGCGGGAGTAATTTCAGTTCTTAGGTGGTGGGGAGTCAGTCTGGGGGAGGGGCTGGGCCACGGTGACTCAGGACCCCCCTTGGCCTGGTGGCCCCTTTTCTTCCTGCTGGGGGGAGATCTCGGCCTTTCCTTCCTGGGGGCCGGCCCTGCCGGAGACAGGAACCCCGTGGGGCCACCGTGGTAATTAGCCATGTTTTCCAGACCGAGGAGGGAAGTCACCCAGATACCTGCTTCCTGCCTCGGCTGGATTTCCTCACCGGGGCGGCTGCCCGCCCGGCCGCTGGCAGGAGCTGGAGGGGCCTCCCCTTCCTGGCCTCCCCTCTGTGCGGGGCTGGCTGCCCTGCCCCCCCATGCAGCTCCCCTGGCTGCTCTGGATCAGGAAGGGTTGTGAGTGTGTCCCAGGGGGTCCCGGAACAAGGGCAGGCCGCAAGTCCTCCACAGGCGGGGGCAGAAAGCGGGGCCCCCTCAGCTCTTAGGCCACGCTCCCTCCTTCCATCTGAAGAGTTGTCTGGTCTCAGCCTGGCTTGGCCCAGGCCTGTTCCCCAGCTGAGTGCAGGCAAGTTAGGATCTGTGGGTCTGAGGCCCTGCCCGAGACCAGTGGCAGGTAGGTGGCAGGAGGTGACTGAGTGCAGGCTGGGGAGGTGTGGGAGCACGATGGGGGGGGGCGGGGCTGGGGGGGGTGCGGTGCAGCTGATGGCAGCATTGTGGGGATGTGTGAGCCCAGTGCCCGCTGTCTGCGAGGCGCCGCGTTCCCCCCATCCCCACTCGGGCTTGCGTCGGCACCTCCCCCGTGTGGCTCAGAGGCACGTCCCAGCCCCTGAGCTAACTCAGCCCACAGGCCCTGCGGCATGTGGCTGCCCCACTCCCCGTCTGCCCTCCAGCGTTCCGCCGTCTCACTCGCCTCCAGCCGGGCCAGTCTTTGCTTCGCCAGCGTGTCAGCCACACTTCCACCTTAGGACCTTTGTGTGTGCCCTTTCTCTGCCTTGTCCCTGAGCGTCCTCCATCTCAGAGCCCAGCTAGTCTGCCTGTCACACTGTCCCCTTATGCTTGTCACCGTCGGACCTGTGTTTATGTGTTGATCCGTCCCCTCGCTCCCCCACTTAGGCTGCCTGGGAGCGGGGCCTCCCCTGTTTGTGTTTGCTGCTGGAGTAGCAAGTGCTCAGGCATCTGTGTGTTGAGTGTGGTGAGCGGTAGACGCAAAGCAGAGGAAAGTGAGGCCCAGAGAAGCCATGGAACTTGCCCCATGATTGACACAGTCGCAAACTCGGGGCTCCCACCCACTGCTCTCCCTCTCGTAGTGGGTCATCAGTAGATGACGGTGCACCTTGTCCCGGACGTTGAGGAAAGCAGGCACTGTGGTCCCAGGAGCCCTGGGACGTCCGTCCCCAGCAGGGAGCAGCAGGGCCGGGCCTGACTGGAGGCACACAGGTGCAGGATGGGTGTGCCGGGGGCCCCGGACGCCTGTGCTGGCGGGAGCCTGGGAGCCAGCCTCTGGCTGTAGGTTTGTTACTTAATCTCCTCATCAGATCTTCCCTGAGACTCTACAGACAGTTGGATTAATCCGAGGGCTTTCGGGCGTGAGTGGGCCAGGCCAGGCCCTGCGCTGGGCGGGAATGGAGGACCTGCGGGCGGGGAACGGGAGCTCTGTGGCCTGGTCACCCTGTTTGGAGCTGCACTGGCCTTGCTGGCTGTTCCGTAGAACCGGAAGCTCGGGATGGGTCTGCAGAGGCTTCGGGGCTTGGGGTGGGCGTCCCAGGAGAGAGGGCAGGAGGGACCACCTGGATGTGGGAGGGCCTGGGCTGACAAAGGCCACTTGGAGGCCCAGATGTGCGTCCTGGATGCGCAGACCCCTTGAGGCATGTGGGAGGGGCTCCCCGCTCTCCCCGGCTGTCCTCTTCCCCACTCAGGTCCCAGCTGTGAGGGGGTCCGGCTGCAGGAGGAGGGGCCCACACAGCCCACTGCCCAGCACCTCCGTAAGGCGTGCTTGACCTCTGGCCCTCCCAGGACCGCCCACCCTGGCCTTCCTGGCTCCCATTCCTGCCCCTGCCTGGAAGGGGAGGCCTGGCTGAGGGTCTCGGCCCCGCTGGAATGCTGCCCCGGCCTGGGCCTTGGCCTCTTTGGCCCTGCCACCCCCTCCTGCTCCCTGGGTCTGGCTGGGGCCCGCTGCCCCAGTGCCCAGAGCTGGCTGACTGAAACCCAGAAGTATGCGTGGAACTCACTTCGCGGGGAGCCGCCAGCCTCGCTGCCCAGCCTGGTGGCGTCCGTCGGGGCCGTGTCAATAGCAGTCTTGAGAGGGGAGTGGCTCGCGGCTGCCGGGGGTGGCTGGGCGGGGGGCGCCGTCATGAAAGCCCAGAGCACAAGGTGGCTCTTTGAGGCCTGGGAGTGTGGGGCCTCCGTGTCTCGGTGCCACCAGAACCCTTCTGCGCTGTCTCTGTGCCGCGGGGACCACAGAGCATCCCGAGATGTCCTGGGCACCGGAGCCTTCCCCGGGTATGGAGGCGGCTGCCCCGCGCTCTGGATTTTAGGAGTGTCTGGTGCACAGAGACTTGCTGTGTGTGTTGAATGAATGAGTGAACAAATGATGTAACCAAAGCCTCCTGCAGGTGTGTGTTCAACTTCACTTAACAAATACTCAGGGAACATAGGACCTGCTCTAGGTGTTGAGGTCACGGCAGAGAACAAAAAAAAAAGTCACAGTCCCTCTCCTCCTAGAACTTGCACTGCAGCCAGCACAGGAAGACGGACCATAAATAAAGTATGTCAGGTGGTGAGAAGTGCTCAGCAGGGAAAATAAAGCTCGGAAGAGGTTAGAGAGCAGGGAGGGGTGGGGTCGGCAGGAGAAACCCTGATAAGATACCATTGGTGCAGGAGATCTGAAACCAGCCCTGCTGATACCGAGGGAGAGGGCCTCCCAGGCACAGGGAGCAGCCAGTGCAAAGGCCCTGCGGTGTTTGTGGGAAAGTGAGGAGGCCCTTGTAGCTGGAC